GTCCCTGCCCCAATGGCGATGCAGGCTTGAAGCCCTCAAGGAACTCATCCACATTCCAGTACCTTGGACGGGAAGCATTCCCCTCCTCCTGCAAGTGTACATCCAGTCATTTCATGAAAAATGGCGTCATGCCTCTACGACCTCAATTTTGGAAAAACTCACGCATAGCTACTGGATGAAAGAGGGGCGCAGACCCGTAAGAAATATAATTAGGGAGTGCCCATGGTGCCAACTGTTTGACAATCTGCCGTTTGTGCCTTTGGCGCCACTCCCACACAACAGGTACTCTGGCATGAAGCCGTTTGAGACCGTCAGTGTCAATTTTGTAGGGCCCTTTGAGACCCTAGATGGCAAAACAATGTCCATCTGTGTTTTCTCCTGCCCGCTAACTTGGGCAGTCCATTTAGGGCTGGTCAGGGACATCTCCCTGGAATCATTTGTAATGGCATTTAACACTTTCTGTCATTTGCGAGACCTTAGCCCCACCACTGTCATCTCTGACAATGGCTCAGCATTCCAGGCAGCATGGCCACGGTTTCTGCTTGCCAAAGAGATGGAGTTTGAGCAGCACTTTGCCTGCAACCACATTCAGTGGCACTTTAATGAGGCCTGTGCGCCATGGTGGGGTGGGTTCTACAAAAGAATGATGGGTATGATTAAAAGATGCCTAGCACGCTCCTTCAAAGGGGTCTGGTTCAAATATCCGTTGACCATCATGGAAGCCATGAAATATGTTGAGCGAATGCTTAATTCCCGCCCATTCACGTATTTACCAACTGATCAGAACGATCCTATCTGTATAACCCCCTCCATGTTTCTGAACCTGGGGGGAGAAGACTACACTGATGCGACGTGGGATCTGCACTGCTACGGTCCCTGACCCGTACAGTTTTTTGAGTACACCCATGAAAAAGGGCTTCAATGGCGCACTAAACTGCGCATGGATTATTTGAAGGACCTGTGGCATGCATTTTACATGGGGTACGTTACCCAACTGCGTGCCTTCCCTACTCACATGGGCCGCGGGCCCACGCACCTGGAGCCCAAAGAAGGCCAGGTAGCCCTGCTCAAAGTTGCATCCTTGAAGGGTGACACGCCAATGTCACGCCTAAAGTGGAAACTTTGCAGGATTGTTGCAGTGCGCACAAGTCTGCGCGATGGCAAAATACGTGCAGTGGATGTCTTAGTTTCTTGCTGGTACCGAGCCAACGGAACTTAGACCCCCCACATTCTGCATAGCCAGTCAATCACAAATTTTATTCCACTTGAGGTGGAACGGCAGCCTGATCTGCAAAAACTGGAGCCCTCTCCTGTCCGCCGCCATTGCTTCCTCCAGGTCACTCACCCCATCAATGGCCTGTCCCCAAACCAATGGATATGCAAGTGCACAGTGTCCAGCAAGACAATGATGATCTGCTCTACGCCCTGTGGAATCTGTATTTGGATGAAGAGGAAAGGTGAACACCAAGATGCAGAGTAACGCAGTTTATTGCCAACAACAACAAGGCACAGACCCGCACTTGAAATTCATCACAAATCAGTTCAGAGGAGACAAAATATGGCTGCACCAAGATCAACCAGATCTACCCACCCATCTACTCGGGCACCATCTGAGTGTTTCTGCTAGCAAGCAACAAAAAATGCTAACAAGGTTTCAATACCCGCAAAGTGCACCAAGCACTGAACAACAAAATTATCACAACATTTCTGACAAAACCAACACAGCATTGTTTGGGAAGGGGTCGCGGGTCATGGGGAGTGGGAATCCAAACAATACAGGAGGGAAGCAACCAACAGGACCAACAAAAAGATCATCACAAGGGCGCATCCCTCCAAGCAGGAGGGCGGGCCAAATTTTGTACATACGGTTTTTACCAAAAAACAAAACAAGACATGACATCAACAGAAACTGAGCACCCACAAACCTGTCAACCATTGTGGTCAGTGCCTTGGCAACAAGTAAATCTTGCCCGATTTAGTGCGTAAGGCATAAAGACGCGACCTAATGCGCCCACAACCCTTGCTCCATGGGCCGTTGTCTCAACCACCACCATTCAGTGGCCGGCATGCATGATGATTGCCCCAACTTGCAGAATGCCGATGCGCTGCATGGTTGCCATCATTCAATTACCCTGCAAGCCAATGTGGCTGTATGTGTGCCTGTATGCACCGGTCAAGAATCCTGTGGGGTTGAATCTACAACAGCACAAGAAGATCAATACAAGCTCAACCCAATCCGCGATGGTTCAACTTACTGCGCAAACGGATTGCCAGTGGCAACTACACCGTCCAATGATGGCAGAGCCTGCGGCACTCATGGAATCAGCCCATTTGCCCCACAATGTTCATGGTTCTGCAAGGGCCAAATCCCTTCAGTTGCTGTCCCATCCTGCCGCCACTCTGGCGCTTGTCTGGGGCAAAGTCCGTACAGGGCAGGTGCCTCCCTGATACCTGTGCTATGGCCCAAATACACGACATGGCCAGGTCCTGCACCATGAATCCCGCGGCGGGCGGCGAAAAGTGCCCAAAGTAATTGGTGACTAGGAGCAATAGCATTCCGCCTGCACAACGCAGCCAGGCCGCTCAAGCTCCACTATATCACAGGAGAAAGATCATACCACTGTTAAGAATGGCATGCTGATGCCTCCGCCTTTCCAAGTTACTCACCAGGAAAACTTTGAAGGGCAGACCCTCTGTCAAATACGAATAATCAAACACAGGTTGAGGTGTGTTTGATTGCAAGCTCACTCTCCCAAAGAAACAGCAATTCTAGCGGGTGATGCGAGACATTGCGAGCAGCAAGTCACCAATTACCAGGATGCACTGCCTTCCGGTGCTCAACCCCTGTGGGATAGGAGGAATCCTCAAGTGCTGGATGCAGAGGAAGCGGTAATCCGCAACTGTGTACCCAGGTGTCAGCAGCTGGAAACTGCGCATAAAGGGCAAACGGTCCCCCGTTGCACCTTGGCACTGTTGTACATTTGAAACGTAGGAGGAATCCTCAGGGTCTTCTGGTTTGAAGCGCCAGGTCTTGGTGAGCACTTCAAATAACTCGGCCTCCGGTACATCTGCAACTAGACAGTCAAACACAATCAATCTTGCTCCTTGTCAACTCCGCAGTGCATAACTTACTTGGTGGGGCGTCCAGCATCTCTACATCCAGGTCATCTCTGCATCCCGGCATCTCGGGAGATGGCACTCTTGGCAATAGCGCCACTTCCTCCATGCGGGGCGCTGACAGCTCCCGCCGTGGTGTAGATCTCCGCCAAGCTGGCACTGCCAGTGCAGCCGCCACTTGTGTTTTGGCCACCCTCCTGGCATGCCACACCGGCATGACATCCATAGTGGGCCCCCAGACAAACTCAATGCTGGGCATTGTGGCCATGCATGCCAACCACAGCGCTCCTATTTCCAGAATGCACAGCATGAGATGCAGCATACTGCGACTAACGCAGGCAGAACACTCACCTTCTTGTTGCAACTTGACGTTGTCAGCTTTGAGGAAGATCTGTCCTCCAGCAGGGAACGCCTGCCCCAAACTTTGCAATGCAATCTGCGTCGCAGCACAAAACTGCGCCGAGACCCGGCGCACCAGATCCTGCTCCTGGGTGGCCATCTTGGCCTCCGCCAAGCTCAGGCAATGCCTGACCAAGTCGGCCACTTGCACGGCCATTGTCATAACTTGCACAGAGGCTTGCACCAAGCGCAACTGCTTGTGCTCTGCCTCCGCCACCGCGGTCTCCTGTAGCAACTGCTCCTCAAGCTGTCCAACAAGCGCTTGCTGCCTCCACAGATGCCGCCACAGGCATCAAGGCCACCAGGTGTTGCCAGCTGTCCTTTGTTAACCCGGCCAGGATGGCCGCGTTCTCTTCCACCACGGCAGGCAGCAGTGCACATGGCAGCGCCACCGCCCCAGCATCCGCCAGCCCCTCCACCACATCCACTGCCGCCTCAGCAGGCACAGCTTTGGCCAGAGCAGCCTCGGTGATGACAAGCACGGGCGACATGTCCTTCTCAGCATCTGCGACCAGTACAATGGCAGCAATCAACATACAATGCAATCAATGGTACCAGACAGAGTGACTCACTGGACACGCCATTCTCAAAGACGCCCTTGTTGGACGCACGTCATTTTGGTGTTGTGGGGGATCCCTGCTGTGTTCCCGCTTTCTTCCACCATCCATGTCATTTGTTGGCGCAGTCTTGGATCTCTTGTTTTGCCTGTTTTGGCTGCGGCACTCCTTGACAATCACGGGCGGATCTACATGATACAACGTGAATGGTTACGTGGACTTTGTTCTGTTTCTCTACGTTTGTGGTGTTCCACTTTCTTTTTGTTCCTTTTTCTTCAAATGGTACACGGGTTGCTGTACAAGATCTGGAAGGAGCAAGAAAGACACACCTCAGCACTCCGCCATCAAGACAACACAATCAGAAATGCCACTATTGCTTTGCGCCAGCACACCGCAATGCTACATTTCTTAGCTCAGGAGGGCTGGCCTTTCCTGATGGAACTGTAAGACCCCCCTCCGGCAGCAGCACCAGTGCCAACTGGGTCCCTCCAAAGGCTTGTGCAGCCATGGAGGATGCGCATGCATGTCCGGGTGCCGGCCTCAAACAAGACGGCCACCCGCGCATTCACAGAATTGCAATGGACACCCTGAAGGCTGCCATGTCAGCAATTCATGGTAAGCCCATGGCGCATCAATACATACTCCAATTTGCAGGGGCCCCAATCACCGTACGTATGCAGCAGGACCAGATCACAGGCTGCTGCACCGACGCAGCAATGACAGCAGCACAGAGGATCACGCCATCCACAGCGCAACAACCAACCCCTCAGATGCGCAAAAAGGACACTGGTCCTATGCCCTCTTTGCTTTTGACTTGTTGACTTGACAGGATCTTTTGTCAAAAACACTTTTGATTTTCAGAAAGACTTTCGGGACCTCTGCCCAGGGCAGGATCCCTGACTTGAATGACAACTTCTTCCTTTGTTCCTAGGCCCTGCTGGTGCGCCTGTGCGCCACCATCTTCCAGGCCTCTGCCCGGTCAAGGATGCTCCGCGTCCCCCGGTGCCACTGCACCCGCACACCTCCCAGCCCCCTGCAACTGGCAACATCTACGCAACCCCAGTTTGGGGTCCTTTGGCTGTCTCCAGCCTGCCGTTGTTGTCCAAAGGGGGGGGGGTATTTTGTGGGGTTGCGTCCACATGGCATGACCCAAGCGAAGCATCCTTGCTCGGGCACACCACACAGAAACACAAAGCCCAGGGGCCCAGAAGCAGTTAGGGACCCAGTTTTCAAACCAGGTAAGTAACTGATAATCATCTCCGGCGGCAGAGAAGTCCAAATGAAGTCTACAACTTCAACACTCTTGCGTTGGGATTGCCTGTCGGCGGTTGCGTTCTTTGAGAGCTCCGATCTGATCTGATTATTAAGTGTGTGCACTGAAATCTGTACATGTCCTTCTGAGGTTCCCTGAGGTGGAATTAAAGGTGTTCTGAATTGAGGGACTCCAATAAGGTGGTTCTGGCCTTTAAAGGCTGACCACTGTGTTCATTCCTTTTCTACATTCTTTGTCGTTAATCGGCCCGCCACAGGTGTCATTTGCGCGGCGTGTTTAAATTATTATAAAGTACTGCATGACTATAAATAAACGTATTCAAGCTGAACGTACTGTGCTGGATAATAAATAACTCACGTTCACAACAGCTGCTGAAGAAAACAGTGAGTGCCATGTGCTTGACACAAACAAACCGAGCCAAATTGCCTCGAAAACGCTCTTCCTTGGTCTCTCAATCCTTCCCTGTGAGGGAGGTAATGCCAATAAGAAGGATGGATGGAAATAAGTGCACGCGCCAGCATGCATATCTTATACTGTACCGTGTCATGCATACAGTATACCGTACGTACACCGATTCTCAGTTTCCGTTTAGAAATCAATCTCGCGTGTTGAGTTAAAAGCATTTGAACATCTCCAAGTCAAATTAAGAAGCCTTCAAGAAAAAAATCATGTACTTTGTTTGATGTTGATGGAATCAGGTTGCATGAGTAGGTATTGGCGATGCTGATAATAAGGGGAATTAAATTTCTGGACAACATGTTTGAAGCTACAGTATATTATTGATTACTGCTCACAAATGACCCGCGTGCACGAAGTTGCCTAAATAAATAAACCCAGGGAGTGAAAAGCATCAAGATGATAATTTCAACTTGAGTGGTCTGTGTTTTCTGGGATATAGAGGTGCACTTAAATTTGTCCCAAAAATAAAGCAACGGCCTTGGAAAATGGAGGGGGGGGGGGGAGGGAGGTATAAGTGCTAATGAAAACGTGTTGAGTTATGTTATTAGACCTCCTGGTTGAAATTGTATTATTGGTATACTCCTTGATTGAGGGAATGGACCATCATGCAGGAATTAACTAAACATGTATTTATAATGAGGTTATCCACTTTGGAAGGGTTCCGACTGCAATCCTAAATACTCTGTGGAGTATGTATGGTACAGTACTTGTATATATATCCATCAATTATTATTACCGTCAACTTGATCATTTCCCTGTCGTAGGCATCCGAGTGGAGCCAGTAGACATCAAAGCCCTCGTTGGGGTGCGACTCGTACAATTTCCACCTGCCATTTCCCTCTTGCAAATCCTCGTATTCTCTCAACAATTCCTTTTCTTCATTCAGGGTCCACTTGAGACTCTCCTATAATGTATACAGTATATTATATGCGAGAAAAGCGGCACTTATTGTATACAGCAAGAAGACACCTGATGAAAATATCATGAAAAGAAAGAGGGACAAAAGAATATGAGGCACTTGTATATACAGTATTTGACTCACTCTTTCGATTCTCATCGTCGTTCTGCTCAAGTACAGTATACAGATTATGTAACGACAATGAGGAGGAAAGAATAAATTGAATTCAAGGCAGGTATGAAATAGGAGCTCTGTTTATTGCTGGCTGATTGGTTGGTTCACTAACCGGAACAGCGTCTGCCGAGTCGAGGTCAACTGCGACCGAGTCCAGGCAAGTGTACACAGCCAGGAAACTCAAAATGTTGCCCACGACTTGCAGCATTGTTTGAACTATTACTGTACACAGCACGTTTATGCACTTTGACCACAGCAGCAGCAGCAGCAGCAGGGAAGCATTAATAATAAAGGAAACTATTGTTTCATATGATTTCGAATCCAACTACTGCTGTATACACGTCGGTCGACAAATCGTGCATCACACGTTCAACACAGCATTCAGTTCGTTCAGTGATACATATACTGTACTGTATATAGACAATGAAGGGAGCTGGGTGATATTTGTGCGTCTTTCTCCATTATTGCATCAAAATATTATTCAGATTATTATTTTTTCTTCTTCTCCTTTTTTACTTTTTTTTTCTTTCTTGCTTTCTCTTGGTTTCTCGCGCCAATAAACAAGTCCTTCATTGTTCGCGATGGGAATAAAGAAGCCACAGCACCACCTATATAGAGCTATGCACAGTATTAGGGCACGTTATTGGGATTGATCAGCACTGACTACAACAACGATGATGATGATGAGGAGGAGGAGGGAGGCTCGAGGTTCAACGAATGCAAAGGCAAGTAAGGTAAGATACAGTATGTTCAGCACGTTTCTCGGCTCTCGTCGCGCGTCTGCGCATCAGCATTCACGTGCACAGGGATGGATGCTCATTCATGCTTGATTATGCTGAGCTGGACACTCCACCATTCACTGCCTGCATCAGAGGCGCTCCTCCTACTCCTCCTCTGAAGACGACGACGACTAACCAGCGCGGGGATTTGCCCAAGGAAGAGTTTAAGAAAGAGAGAGAGAGCGTATAACAATACTCTACTGCCCTGATAATACGGCTGCTGTCTGCAGGTAATTTCTGGGGAATACCAGGACAGTATAAGAAGCTGGAAATCCCTGAATCGCCGGTCTTCAAAAGGGTGGTACCGCGGACGAGTGCATGCAGGTAATCCTGCAGTTCATGCAGCCAAAAAAAAAAGGGGGATCTGACCCCAAAAAAGGGTCCGCCGGGAGTCCTTTGTCTGGGGCAGGGCCTGAGTTTTCAGGAGAATTCCCATGACGAAAGTGTCATTCTCATTTTGGGACACACTTTCAGCTTGCAAGTTTTTGAATTGTAACAAGTTTTTCCCTTTCAAGTTCGCGCATTTTAGCAACTCTTAGGAATAGATCCACAGGGTTATTTCAAATTATTTTTTCACATTAATGTGCAGATACAAAAAAAAGAAAGTAAATCCATTAATTAAGAATTACGCAAAGTATAAGAATTTCTCAGAGTATTTGGCAGTAATTTTTTACCAGCGAAACCTGTTCAGCTGGATTTTAAATACATGTTATCCTCAAAATTCTGCTGCACTCCACGCCTCAACATTTTTGCACCTCTTGTAATTTTTACAAAAATGTACATAAAAATGGGGATGTAGGCATTGCTTGTATTGCAGTACTGTATATACATCTCTGCATGGGGCACTTTGAAATTTATTCCCACAACAACTTCGCTGGATTCCCTTTGCTCGATTCCCTGAGGCAGAAATTTGTGGTAAGACAAAAAAAAACGAGAGAAAAAATTCCAACACATTCCTCAGGAAATTTTTTCCTGATCTCCATTTCATCATCATTCCGTGAATTAACTTCAACAGCTGTTCAGTGTTCCAGTAATTTGTAATGCATTATAAATTATGAAAAATTTTACTTGAGAAGCTGGCTTGCATTCTGCTAGGAATAGAATTAGTCTGCGTCACATCCAGTAGGAGAGCTTCCACATAAGGGAAACCAGCTGATAAATGTAAAATAATTTTAGTGTTTTACTTACAGCACAAAAGAGTGATATTGAAGGTACTGTAATGGTAGTACATTTTATTATCAAATGCATGTTTTAATTGGTATCTGAATACATTTAATACGAGGGGGACAGTGCTATAGTGAAAATAGATGCTTTGCTGGAAGTCAATTCCAATCTGAAGAATGGCCCATCCTGAAAGAAAGGCTTAATTTCAATGCAAAACTTAATGCAGTTGAACTTTAACAACTCACAAATCTCTATGCTGGTATTATTTTTGTGCAAAGGCTATATAATTTTTCACAAGCAGTGCACAGGATTTCACAATTTTGTGCATGTGACAAATGTTTATTTTCATGGAGCTTATTCATTTTTACAGTCTAGTCTCATTTGCCAGACTTAAGTCATCTCTGTTATAAATTTACAGCTCTGAATAGCTTTAATGTGTTTTCATCTCTAATCTGTCAGAATAAAAAAGTTGATGACTCAATGGCTAGCCAACTGATTTACTTCTACTTGGACTTTCATCCATAATCCAGTTCTTCTTGAGGAACTCATAGTTTCCAAAAGGCTCAAAATGTTTTTGCATGCATTTGGAAATGTTCTGAAAATTCTTAAATGGAATTTAATAAGCTCTTGTCTGGATTCATCCAGTAAATGTGCACAAGCATGAATGAATTTGATCCTAACCAGGTTCCACAACAAAGTGTGGGGTAGAAGTTGTGTTGATATGCATATACAGCATTGGTATTTATCAGCTTGCCCAAAATGAGGTCATGGGAGCAATCAATTCCATTGATACCAATTGTTGGGTTGCGCCGGGGCTACTTTGTAGCCCCTTGTAGCGTATTTGCAAAGGCCTCTAAAAACCGGGGCCTGGCACCAAGAAGTATGAAGAGGCAGGATGGAAGCTCCTGCTACCTTCCGCCACAAGTTCACCTGCTGCCAAAAACTGGATGTGAAAGTTGTTTTGTCAAAAGTTGTAGAGGAAGCCAGCGATGACCAGTATTGTCACTCGCTGACTTCATCTCATGAAAGAAGCATCTCCCTAGGAGCTCCAAGTTGTGTTGGTTATTATCCTGATTGTCTAATTGAGTCTTGATCTGTTGTTTGTGATTGTACTCTTGAAGTGTCTGTATTATTTGCCTGACTGTTGTTAGAGCATTGAAGTAAAACTCAAACTGTTCTTGGGACTCCGGTAAGGAGGATCTGGTCTCATATAGGCTGATTGCCCTGTTGGTTTATTTCATAAATCTTTGTGTTTCCGGCACCACAAAACTGGTGGCCAGTTCAACTGCCTTGTAAAGGCTTCAAATCCATAGCACCATTTAAAAAACAGTTAAGTGTTGGAAGTTTATTCAGTGTGAATTCTTGTGTTTTGTGTGTGTAAAATTTCAAAGTTTTCAATTCTGTGAATTTTTGAATTTTTGAATTTCTGCAAACAGAGAGAATCACAGCTTGAAGTGCAATGTCAATGAACCTGCCGCAATCACCCCCGATCTCAAGTAGGCTGTGCACAGTGTGCCATCAACGTTTTGATCTCGGGGCAATTGCTCAAGCTGAAAGCAGGCATCACATTTTGCGGAGTGCTTCCAGCATCCCAGATCCACTGAGTGGGCAAGTGTGAACCACTCAAAGGTCAGCACACACAACAGTTCAGGGTTCTCAGGTGGGGTCCAATTGCCAACCAGGTTAATGCCCTGAGGTGAAGGCCGCAACAAGCAACTGCTCATTGGTACAAGCATCACAGCAACTGAATGCGGGATGCCAAATACTCAATGTTGCAAACGCCGTAGGGGCAATTGACCTGATTTTTAAGACCCCCAAAATCAGACCTACGCAGGCAAGATTTGAGCAGCATATCATGCTACTCTTTGCACAGCAGCGAAATTCATTGCTCTCCCTGAAGGACCCTTCACTGAGGCTGAACTTGCGACAATCCCGCAATTGGCCATAGAAATCAACAGTATCTTGATATATCCAGAGGATATGACAAAAAAGGCGTGGTTGGTACTATGTCCCACACAACCAAAAGTAGCAGGAGTTGCTTTTCCCAAAGACCCCATCCTTGAGAAAGCAGAAACCGTTGAGCCAGCACAGATCCCCAAGGAATCTGGTGTGGAAATGGAGGATAACCCAGGGGAAACTTTGGAAACTGAAGAACAGAAAGGTCAAAATGCGAATCAAAGAAGGACAGTGCAAAAGCACAAAACCAGGTCTCTTTTTCTGTCTCCAGGGCAGAGAGAACCCAAGATGCCCTCGCAGGACGCTGGCTTCTTCAACCCAAAAGAACCAGGGCAATTTTCGTTCCTTGGATCTGTGGTAAAAACTGTTGATCCATACAAACAAGCTCTCAAAGTCTTTGGCACTGGTACATCAACCTTCGAAACTTTCACATGTAGACTTAGTAAAGTTGTAAGAAAAACAGGCTCAAAAGCCTTCATTTCTAAAGTTCTTGGGAAAACCGACTGCGGATTACACCTTTGAGTGGATGTGGACCAGTTTTACATTGGTTCACCTATTCCCCAAAGAGCAGTTAACGGATGCGGAGCGGACCAGGATCTTACTTTTGTACTTGGATGGTGACGTGTGGCAAAACATGGATGCATTTGCGCATCAGGACGAGGATGTCGAATACTTGGGGGCACTGGATGTGCTCTTTACCAAGTATGGCAGAACGGAGGAATTAAGGACAGAACTATATTGCAAGTTTGATCACTTACCTACTCCCTCCACACTCATTGAGTTCCACAACTATTTCAATAATGTCGTGAAGATTTTGGAAAAATTGAGCACTATCAAGACCAATATGCACCAAGTGCATCAAAGGTTTGGACCAGTCCTCAAAGCCCACCTTTGTAGAGGAGGATACTTGGAGATGATCCAAGTCAAAGTGGACAAATGTCCGCAATCAGTGGCTTACATTGCAAAGTGGCAGAAAAGACCACATACGCAATACTGCTACATCCGTTCTTACTTCCAGAGAATGTTGGGACTGGAAGAACCTTCTACCACGCTAGCCTTCAAAAACTCTGCAGATAACCCTGAGGGGTCCGATAAAGCTAAGACAAAGGAAGGAAAAGATGACACTGACAAAGGTCAGTCAACTGCAGTAGTGGCAGCAGCAACAGCCACAAGCATTCAACAACCAAAGAAGTATGATAACAAGCAAAATGGAAATTTGCATCATAAGCGCCGATGAGATCGCAAACAGCATTTGCACTCTAGAAGTCCGCCATGGAAATATCAAAAATGGGGAAGATCCCTGTACAGGCGGCAAAGCCGCTCACTGCAGCAATCTTGTTCAGATCAG